ATTCCCCAAAACTGTTTTTTTTAATTAAAAAAAAATGTATATGAAAAGCCACTTTTGCAATTGCAGTTACGATAGCGGAGACGGGGAGAGGGCGATCGCTCCAGAGATTTATGTGCGTGTGTTTGTGTGTTCGATTGATGCTTTGGGGCTTATTATTATTATTATTATTAGTATTAACAATAGTAATAGGATATTGCACCTGCCCTGCAGAGATAACAATACATGTTCAGGGAATAGGAGAAGAAACCCTGTGAATAAGACACCATTAATAACATTTAAAAAGGAATAGTGGGGCAGAGGTTCATTTCAGTGCAGACTTAAAAGACATCGTTAACACGTTTCGTAACAATTTCTAACATGCAACCTTTCGTTGGGGAGGAGAGGGGGGGAGAGAGGGAAGAGGGAGGGAGGAGGAGAGGAGAGGAGAGGGAGGGGGAAAGAGAGGAGAGGAGAGGAGAGGGAGAGGGATGGGGGGGACGAGAGGAGGAGGAGAGGGGAGGAGGAGGAGATGGGAGGGAGAGAGAGGGGAGGAGGGGGAGGAGGAGATGGGGGGGAGGGGGAGAGAGGCGGAGGAGAGGAGAGGGGGAGAGGGGGAGGAGGGGAGGAAAGGGAAGGGGGGGAGAGGGAGGGGGTGAGAGGAGGAGAGGGAGGGTGGGGGGAGAGAGGAGGAGGAGAGGGGGAGAGAGGGGAGGAGGGATGGGGGGAGAGGGAGAGAGGGGGAGGAGGGGAGGAGGAGGAGATGGGGGGAGGGGGGAGAGAGGCGGGAGAGGGGAGGGGGGAGAGAGAGGGGAGGGGGAGGAGGAGGAGAGGGGGAGGAGAGGAGGAGAGGGAGAGGGGGGAGGGGAGGGAGAGAGAGAGGGAGAGGGGGGAGGGAGAGGGGGCAATGTTCCCACTGATGCAACTTTATTTGGAAGAAAAACACGATGCCTTTCAATGCAAACAGCGCCGCAGCCGCTGTGCGATGGTGACTGGAGATTATTAAGGATTTGCCTTGTGCCCCTCAATGGATTGGATTTTTTTCTCCCTTCCCGCCCCCCCCCCCCCCCCACACACACACCACACACCCTGAGGTGCTGTTTGCACTACAGGAGCGCCGCCTGCCGGCCACAGCCCGTCACTGCAGCCCTGGCTCTGCCCAGCACAGACCAGCACAACACAGCCCAGCCCACAACAGCACAGACCAGCACAACACAGCCCAGCACAGAACAGCACAACACAGCCCAATCCAACCCAGCCCAGCACAACACAGACCAGCACAACACAGCCAGCACAGCCCAGACCAGCACAACACAGCCCAGCACAGCCCAGACCAGCACAACAGCCCAGCCCCAGCACAGACCGCAGCACAGCCCAGACCAGCACAACACAGCCCAGCACACCAGACCAGGCACAGCCCAGACCAGCACAACACAGCCCAACCAGCACACAAGCAACACAGCCCAGCACAAGACCAGCACAACACAGCCCAGCCAAAACAAGCAGACGACAGCCCAGCACAACACAGCCCAGCACAGACCAGCACAACACAGCCCAGCACAGACCAGCCCAGCACAACACAGTCCAGCCCAGACCAGCACAGATCAGCCCAGCACAGACCAGCACAACACAGCCCAGCACACCCCAGCACAACACAGCCCAGCACAGCACACACACAGCTGCTCAGTCACTGGTGGATAATGAATCAGCGTAACTTTTCCCATCACAATTGGATCAGTTCTCACAATTCTTTCAAAAGCGCAGGTTTCTAATGACCCCAAAGGCCAGAAGGGTGGATTGAATGCATCCACAGTCAGAGAGTATGGAAGCATGAGGTTTTTTTTTGCAGATTATTTTATTTCAATTTAATAATAATAAGAATAACGACGAGGACGACGACTTGCATTTATACAGTGCCCGCGGGGAAGGGTAAAGCCCCAGAGCGCTGTAGCAATGTGCAGGGAATAGGATGCTCTAATCTGTAAATGGTTCACCACAGTGATCCCTGACATCCTGATAATGGGCCTGAGGCGTGTAAGTATTTACACCAATAATAACAATAATCTTTGCATTTGATACGGCGCCTTCTCATGACATTGAGTCTTCTCAAAGCACTTCTCAGAGTACACTGTAAAGAGGATTGACTGTGTATTTTTGGGGGCGAAATCAACATCTGACCCATGAACAACGGGGATGAGAGTTTAGAAGTGATCTGGAAACGCGGGTGAGCTCACACACCATTCAAACAAATCCTAATGTCCCCGATTCAGTACAGATTGCTCAGTAATCCCATTAGATCTTTGACAAAAAATCAACAGCGTTTAAATGTAAAACAGAACCTGACGATTATCATTGCTTCATGACCTGGATTTTCTGAGCTCCCGTCGTCTATTGTGGATTGGAGAGATTTCTGTGGCTCCTGTTTGTCGCCTGGGGATATGATACCACAGAGAAAT